TTCAAATATCAGTAGCTTGCTCCAAAACTCTTCTCGACCTCTCATTACAGTTGGGAACTGAATATCACTCCCTCCGTGCCAACTGAAGGTCCAGTTTGCGGGATGCCTGCCCATCATATCCCCTATCATCCTCGCTGTTTTACACAAAATGAGAAGGTGATTGTCTCGTCTTTTGTCAGTGGGATCGTTAGCGTACTTTACGAGTGCGCCTGCAAGATTCTCCGCAACTCCGTGATCTATGTTGGATTTACCCCAATAATGTATAAGCGACATATTCAGAGATGCGAGGTATTATTTCGGGGGAAGGCTATGGAAGAAAGAAACAATGTGTTTGTACCGTTCATGTGCTTTTCAATAACATTGCTGATGATGGTACGTGCGATGTATCTAGAAATCGATGCCCCGCTATCGTCCCGCTGAGTGTGATAGAAGTTAATCGAGTGTTGATCGATAAATAATCGGAACGCCGTGACCTCATCCCGGATCGTGCTATCTTCCGGTGGCTGCTCGTCAGGGATAGTCCCCAGGGCTGTGGAGCGACGCTTGTGGGCTTGTGGACCTCGTCGCGACGGCACTTTCGATCCAGCATAAGATTGGGATCTCGAATGGGTTCTGGACTGGGTCCTCGATTGATTCCTCGACTGTGTTCTAGACTGAGTTCTTGAGGGTGCTTTCGAAGCCGCTTGGGATGGGGCTACTGTTCGTCTTCCACCCCCAGTTCCGGAGACAGGTCTTCCTTGGGATCGCGCGCTTTGGGATGGCGGACGAACCGCTGGCCGGGGCTTATCGAATGTTGTATCGAGAGCATCACCATCTTTTTGAATTTTGCTTGAGCCGCATCCCATTCTATAATAACAGGCATTGCTTTTTTTTTTTTAAGTAAAAGTTGAGTGACCTAACAACATAGTTCTCGGTGCAAAATGAATGATGTGGGGGAAAAGATGCATTAGCTATGCACCGAGACTGCCAGCGAAAACAAGGGTCCGTGTCTGTCAATATAAATGCCAAGGTGGCGGTCGATCTGGCGGAACAATTTCATCTTCGAGGCCATAAAATAGTGGACTGATTGCTTTCAGATGGATTTTTTTTCCCCCATCATAATCATCATCATTGCTACGCTGTTGAGGGCCGGGTTGTCACTTAGAAGTTTCAGCGTTCTTCTGGAACTGTCCTTGACACGTTGACCCCTGGAGATGATCACCCATTCATAACTCATTGAGTAATTCATCATACAAACAACATTGAAAGACAATGTGTAATTTCGCTATCTACTCTACATTATGATTTTAGATGACATCAATCATCAGCATTTGAAGATGTCAAGTCATTTAACAAACAACAGTTTTACCCCCCGCCCAGTTGGTAACGTAAGTGCTATGTGTTTACCTGTTGGACAAATGATCATCTAGATATTAGCTTCCGCTTTTCGCAAGGTAAGTGTTGGTCGTCATCGGCATTTTTTTTTCTTTCCGGAAGAATGAGCAAACGTGTGTGTGTTTATACGAGTTGTGGATAGTGGTGACACTTGACACCCATTCCCCCTTCTTGATAGCTACGTGGTACATCAAGCGGTGTAGTGATTGTTGTAGATGTACGTCAGTTGTCAGTTCAGGAGTGGGGCTGCTGCTGTGGGGGATTAGGGCTAAACTACAAAGGGAGAACCCCCTATTAGGTAATCACATCCAGCAACAACTGATTTTTCCGCTTTTAAGTCAACTAACCCCTTGTAAAATTGAAGCCACCACCTCTTGATACATACCACAAGAACGAAAACAGGGCCAAAATATGGATAATCCTGTGGGCTAGATACAAATGCCGCTCTCAAACTTGAAATATGGTAAACCAAATTCTCGATGGTGACATGACCACGTTCCCTCCTGTGAAAGTTGGGATGTTCAAGCATCAATTTGGGTGTGCTAGGCCTAAAAAGCACCAGAATTTCGGTAAATACACCCCAAACCTCAACTGAAAGCTCTACCCAAACATATTGTGGTCGTCGGGTATTGAAGCCTGCCGGGATACCTATGGCCTAGCTAGGTCCCAGTCAGCCCCCCAAGCCAGCCTTAAAACGGATGATCTGGGGCGGTGTTTTGGGTTGGGAATATTAGCGTCCCCGCAGGGTTTGTGGTTTTAGCCCATCGATGACGCAGGGGAGCCCAAAGTGATGATGGAAGCTGGTACAAAATAAATCGTTTCCCAAATCGATTTTGTCCCAGCTTATGGCTTTGCTCTGACGTGGCGTGGAGGCTTGCATCAATGATGACTTTGTGCCACCCTTCGTACTTTGACAAATATGCCAATGTCTGCATGTTCAGCCCAATGGTTCCACAGAGAAGTTGAGAACATGTATGTCAGCCAAGGCGTCTGCTTCGCTGGCTAACTCCCCTCTGACCATTTTCTCGAATCAACAAACTGTGAAAAAAATAATAATAATAAAAATAATAAAAATAAATCGAACTAATATCATACCCTGGATGAGTTTGCGTCGCTTACCACTCCGATCAAGCAATTTCTCACTTCCGCGAGCCTTGCCCATCACCTTTGCTTTAATTGGCCTACCATTGAGTTTTGAATTGATGCCTTGCATTCTGCAGCGGGGAAGCGTTTGAGTAATGTCTTTTTTTTTTTTTTTTTTTTTTTTTTTTTTTTTTTCAGACTGAGAAGTCTTATCTTGCTTCTCAGCATTTCGCTGATAGAAGACCAGATACATTCAAGCAATACTAAGTATCGGCCAGTTTCCTCTAGGTATTTTGTTACCGGACCTCGTTGAAGCTGTTTTCAGCAACAGGATCAAAACTTTTTCCATATGGTGATGTATGGGAGTATTATCGGGAAGCACCTGGTGACTGTGTAGCCTCCCTGTTTGCGGCGGAGAAACAATAAATATGGAAAAGTCCAACGCAGCTCTGGAGGACATTGACTCGCCCTTATGGGACTTTTCATATATTTGGTCATTTAAAGGGTTTGACATCGAAATGGCTTCAGATACTATGGACACGGATCAGTCAATCCGCGTTAAAAAGACCGAAGTTCTTGTTCCCGCACACACAGGGAACAACTCCGTAAGCTATTCTTGGAATGTTTTATATCTGGATTCTTAGCTAATCAGGGTAATAGAGATTCTGCGTTGAGCCCGATTCTTGTCAAGAGTCTCTCTTAACCAGCCTCTGGTCAGCACCAATATTCAGTGGCCCGGGATGCTGCGTCCAGGAAAAGCCCGCATTTAATGTGAGATTTTCTGAATTTTTCATGAATATCAGAGAGAAGGAAGAAAGCGTTAATAGTGCCGTGTCTCAGGAGTCGCTCGGTTTGTTGTTGCCCTCCAGGGAAGAGCACGAAGACAAGGACTACACCCAGACGACTAACACTAATTTCTCCGCCAAATGTGCCGATAGCACTGGAGGCGTGTGTGCAGCCCTACAAGATGAGAAAGAGTCTATCAACGGTTCTAGAGAGATGTTCGGGACACGCGATTGGAATTCAATAACGTCCAGATGCTCTTACGATGGAGATACACGTTGTCTTAATGACTCAAGTAGCGGTTTACCATCTCGAAAGCCTTCAATTTCAACAACATCACGGCATGTACACCGAGAGCGTCCAGTCATGTCTGGTCTTGCATCCAAAATTAAAGGATGGATGACATCGCGAAGGGATACTGCCGTTGATAGCTTAAATCGAAGAGCTTCTGATCAAAACTTCCCACAAAGGAGGACACTTGGTGGTTGGACGTTCAGGGCAAAACAATATCTGAAAAGCCCAGTACCCAAAACACCAATAAAACTGCAAGCACAGGCTAGTTTTGAGACAGATCTTGAACCTCCGGTTTCGGACCCCCCAACATCCACAGTTCAGACTTCTGATCTCCATGAGGCATTTTCGCTGCAGCATTCTGATTCCGGTGCGAGTTCAATCACCTCCAGTGTCGTCGCCAAAACACCAGCAAGGTCTCAATGCATCCCACGAAGCTCTCATAAAACCGAATATGGACGACCGCACCTGAACCTGGATGTCCCAATAACGGAAGAAAGGGGCCCACTCCCTTTCCAGTGCACTTTCTGTTTATTGCAATGCGAGAACAAAGAGAACTGGATCGACCACGAGCGAAATGTTCATATGTGGCGGCCAAGGTCTTCACATCAACCCATCCTGGCTGCAGATTATAGCGGAGCATCCCGGGAATGGCTGGAAGCCAAGCGTGATTGGTTTTGGAACTGCGGATTCTGCGGCATCCTTCTCCAATCATGGGATGAGCGTCAAACCCACTTCATAGAGCACTTTGAGGATAAGAAGACGATGGCATCTTGGAACCCACTTCAAACGCCGTACCCTTTGGATAAATTCTTGCTAACTCCGGTCATTGGCTTTCCGCAATGGAGTCCCGCTCCATTGCTGTCAAACCAACAAGCTCGGATACGAGATTTTGTGAATTTGTACGTGATGCTGTTCCTTTTTGTCTCTCTTTGCACAACATAAATATTTGCTAGCAGGTAGATACTAATTGCATCTTTAAAAAGTGCTTTCGACCCACGACTCCCATGGTGCAAGGCTTGTAAGATACCGCTCACGAACTGCAACACCTATGAGGAACACATAAAACAATGGCATTCTCCCCCGATAGCCTGGCGATGTCTGAATCTCGAACACGCTGAGAGACCTGGCCTATTTTTCGAGACTGTCGACGAAAGCCGTATAGACACCACATCTATACAAGAACATCCTTTAGTCCCCGAAACCTTCAGTGGAACAACTGTGAACGGTTCCAGCGATGGCGACGCCACTTGTTCTTCCCATCATTCCGGCTGTTCGAAGTCTGCGTTTATTACTATGGAAGACGAGTTCCCTGCCGTTAGGTCCTACGAATATTGCCTTCTTTGTGAGAATATCTTCCATTCAAACTCAACGGATCTAGAGGAGGAGCACAAGCGACACTTGCGGGAAACGCACAACTTGGACGAAACGAAACGAGGTCCCAAATTCTTCAATGAAGGGCAATTTTTGCTCCATTTAGCTAATGGCCATTGCGTCACCCTAGCCCATTTGGCTACTTTGGCGGAACATAGCAGCCAGAAAAATCGTGCACTGGCAAATTGGACGCCGACGGATTTCATCTGAAGAAACTATGCAATCGCAGCTGACCGAGATGCCTTGCACCAACTTTGTATTCATTAAAATGATTCCGTTGTATTTGTATACAAAAATTATCTTTCGTTCGTTCCTCTTTGGCCTTCGAGCCTTGCTCTCTGTGAGAACTATTACCCTTTCCCAATTTTTATTATTAATTCTTTTTCATCTGACATTTAGATACATTAGTTAAAAAACGTAAAGAAAAAAAAAAAAAAAAAAAAAAAAAAACTCTAACATATTTATCATGAAGTTCGCTGGTATTACAGCTTCCTTAATACAACTCCTTTCCGGACACCGTGACATGCACGAGATATGTACGTATGTAGTCCGTATGGACCAGTTAAGTCAACAACAGCATATAGAAGCAATCCTTAGTCGTAAACAGCGAACGGATCATTTATCCCTAGTCCCTCCTGCATGTCCACAGTTTGACCAATCCACGGGCCACGAAGCCTGGGTATCCAGGCTACTAGCCTCATCAATGCTTGTATACTGCCAATTCACTGGGACCTCGTCACTCTCTCCAATCACCATATCCTCAAACCAAACTTCAAACTTCAAGTGCGACGACCCTATGACCAAGCGCACCTCGTACTGAATTTTTAAAAACTCCGGATTTCGCTTGGAACCCCACCATTTCTGTACTTTCACAGGCTTTGGGTGTTGCCTGAGCAGTTCGCGGCTCACTCTTGAGTCGATTTCGCAGATGATGCGAGCATCACCCTCGTTGCTGGTCTGCGGAAGGCGGGTTGCAGGGGACTGGGACATGGTTATCAAATCTTTCCAGGATATCTCAGAACTGTTGTTATGAAAGACGCGGTTGAACTTCCGGCTTATGTATTGACGCTGGTGGATAAGCTGGTCCCGTTTGATAAGCCATTCGATCTGGTTCACGGCATATCTTTTCCGATCATAGGGGCTGATTTTTATGCCTTCGCTTTGGCGTGGAGAACGTTTGTTTTGACTGAGTCTGTTGTTGAAAACTATGCCGTACGAGTGACAACTCCTGCGACTAGATATGATGGAGTGTCCGTATCGCAGGCGGTGAATTCGGTCAATTACCAGACCTCTACAGACTGCTAATTGACTGTAGGATCGGTCAGCACATCGTATGTTACATGGGCAATGCGGGATCAGCAGTCCTCACGGGTCTTCCGATATTAAAATCCGTTTAGCTGCCTTCCCATAACCGTATTCCCTTTTGAAGCAATCCTGAACATAGGGAGAGGATCCGAGGCCCCCGGAAAGGACAAAATGGGTCTGTAGGCTGTTGGTCAAAAAAAAAAAGAAAAAGAAAAAGAAAAAGAAAGAAAGAGAAAAAAAAATGGCACTCGAACGAGGAGAACAGAAAGTAAACATACCACTTGTTCAGACGGGGAGAGTTCTCGAATACGTCGAAGCTGCTCGTCAATCATCGAAAAAATGCGACAGATTTGCTCGTCGAACAACTTTCGGATATCATCCCTTGTGTGTTTGTTGGCTAAAATCAAATCCAGTCAAGAGGTCAAAGAACCGCAAATTTTTGGACTTACCCTGTTAGGATTATTCTTCCATTTTCGAACCCTTCTTCGGGATTGTGATAAGCCCTTGGAAGGCCTGGTACGTAAGGGGCGATTTTACTCAAAACAGATTCTATCTGGTAACCAAAATTTTCCTTGATGGTCTGAAAGCTGCCTTTGGTCAAATCTCGCGCTGCATACTTCAAAGACCAACTAACGTTTTCGCTGTTGTAATCGATACATTTTAAACGGGTTTCAATTAGCCTTTGGAAGGCTTGGTCGATCCGGACGGAACCAATTGGCCTTCCTACACATGTGCAGATGTGAGCAGTGCGGAGACAAATGGGTGGGGAGAGAAACCGTAGTTACCATTGACGAAGTCAAGTTGTTCCAACTCAAGCACCTCCTCAGTATGACCTTCGCGAATTTCAAATTTTTGGGTGGAGAGGACTTTGAGAACGGATACGTCCTGGGTGTCTGTAGTTAGCGGACCAATTTCAGCTGGGACACGAGAGAGCGCTCACAGTTGTCCCTCCTCCAGCATCGCAAATGAGAATGACATCGCCCTTTCGAATGCGCTCCTCATTTCCAATCGCCAGTTCCCTTCTTCCCTTCGGACTTTGGATCGAACGTTGACTTTTGAAATATTTCGCTGAATAGACAGCGGCGGCGGCTGCTTCAGATAATTTAATCTCCACCGAGTGAGCAGCGCATCCACCAAACCCTGCCCTTGTCACAGTTCTGCTGAATGTCTCAACCACCTTCGAATTTTGCCAAGTTGTAGGGAAACTGAAGAGGTATTCCACGGGGTGTAACTTCCAGTCGCCCATCACATCATTTGCGAACACCTCTGCGTTTCTTATATATCTAATGATGTATTGTCGTAGAGCCGTCAGAAAGTCGACAAACCACATTTGGACGTCTTCATTCGTCCAGAAGACTTCGGAGCTGTTCTCAAGCCCATCGGTGTGAAAGTCAGGATCCAGATACAATTTGAAGCAGTCTATCACATCCATTCCACGATGCAGTTCCTCTGGCTCATCAAATCCCCATGACACAGGTTTCTTGCACCCTGCTCGATACCAGAGTTTGGTAGGCACCTTTTTGGCGACCTCCTTGTTTCCCGGCCACCGATCCACGTCAAGCGGAGTGTCCATGTCTCTGGTCGAGAAAGCGACTCCTAATAAGTGATAGCCAGGTACTTTTAGTTTCAGTTACATCGTGAGGAAACGACATTGCATGCGTTTGTTATCGGGTGTCGCCCAGAGACGTATACACAGCGCGCACAGAGAGCAGAGAAGATGCTGCTAAAGAGCATACCTGTGTGGGTCAAGCCAACGTCAATACCGACGTAGATTGTTTCCAGTGACATATTGCGCAACGCCATAATGGAATATACAACAAGCCAAAGGCAGAAAACAGTCAAAATGAAACGATTAAGGAGCGAATTGGTCTGAAGATAAATTGCTTCAGAAGATAGTTCAAGCCCAGCTTGCTTAGTATATTACAATCAGCCATAAGGCTTCCTGTTAAATTCCTCTCCGGCAGCTATTATATCAGTGGATTCTGTCTGCTATCCCATTGAAAAAATAAACAAAAATTAAAAAAAATCTGCAGCAGAGCCCCCTGACGTCAACAGCGAGGGGGGGGGGGGGGGGGGGGGGGACGGGAGACACCTTTTCACATTTCAACATCGATTTAACAAATACAACAGTCTGGATCGCTGTCATTCATACTCTTTGTTAGGGACCAATTGGATAAATCATGGCTGCTTCATGGCTGCTTCCTAGCATATCCGAGAGAGAGCCAAATCATCGAATTCAGTCACCCCGAGAAGTCTCACGGTCATGTGGTGGAATCATCCTGTTGGCAGTGCGTTCTGTAGTTATCTATTCGGACAAAACATCGCATTTGGAATTGGGCTATGATCTCCAGAGAATAGCACGATACGATCTGCAGCGGAGATATCCATCTCATAACCCTCGGCAGAATTAGTAAACAGACCGTCATATGCTGGGCGTAGCGTTGGGCAGAATGCCCTGCTGTCCTGGACGTGGCATCAAGTGAACAAACTAGTTAGCCAACCAATGCGGCATGTCCTCACGACGATTCTGGGTGCCCTAGTTGCATCTTCTTCCGGGATTGCCTTGGGACATAGGTAATCTAATATATGCTTTAGTTTTGGCTCTTGTGCAATAAGAGTACATGTCATTCATACCCAGGTAGAAGATTTAGCGGGCCTCAGGGACTCCCGAGGCCATAGGTCGAGGTGATGGTAACTAAATATCTAGTTGCACGCGAAGCCGACTCTCGCTAACGTAACTGCTAACACCGAGCGGATCACCAAGTTGAAGTCATGCAACCAATTTATTTATCTACCTGCTTTGACACGTCAGAAATGCACCAGATTCACAATAAAAATGAAAATAAATCTCACTAGAATTAGGGGGAATGGATTGAAATCGTAATGACAGTCCTAAAAAGTAAACAAATCATCCTTATTCATGAATAGTTGTCAAAGAGGATGTTTCAGCTCGCAATGCTAAATATAAGTCTATAAAACGCCACAAAACCGATAATTTTGATTTTTCTGTTCCGAAATTCGGAAGAATCGGATGCAAAATATGTCTCGGAATTGGTTTTTAAATATAAATTAGCCGGCATGGGTCGGAAAGGAATATAAGTCCACGGTTACAAAAAGCCGGGTGAAATCCGCATAGAGATCAGAACGATCAACCAGCCTAACTGGACTTTTCATCCTTTTTGACCAGAAAAATTCAACTGAGACTAATTGAGAAATGCCCTGATCACGGTGTGTTTCACGAAACTATGCCATGGTAGTGGATCCAGTGAGAATTTCTGGCACGCAAGCTAACAGACAGAAAAGGACATGATGCCTTGCTTCAACAAGCATTTGAGGAAAACACTTCTACGAGTCAAACATTCGGCGACTCATAGTTAATTAGTCACTGGCTGGTTTTCTTGCTTGCGCCCTACTGGATCGGCTCTTCGAGTCCTTTCTGTACAGCTTCTTGGAGAGGCCGTAATGCCTTCTCATTCTTAAACCGTTCTCAATTATCTCGTGCAGCTTTGGTCGAAGCGCTGAGCAGCTGGACAGTCTTTCATCGTACAATCAGGACGAACAAATGTTCGTGTTTGATACTTGTGTGAACTCGACAAGCTTAATTTGACTCTCTTGGTGGTCAAATAGTAACTTAACCAGCAGATAACTCGTCTATTGAAGAACATATCCAAGTCTTAGTTCTGTGAGAGCATGGCAACGCATTTATAGAGGTAAATATGATCTTTTGAATCCCACATCACTGCTGTTCGGTTTTTCTAAACTGCTAGGCATTGTTAAATATATTAGGCAGCCCGCAGCAGGAAAACTCCATTGTTGTTCCAAGGATTTACAGCCGTTAAGAGTTGGGCCGTTGGTTATCTGATGGTCACGTGTCTGGCTAGGCCGGAAGGAAGCCTTGGCGGTTGAGCGCAGGAAAAACTCCTACATTATGTAATGAGTTAGCTAACTAGCTTCTGACTTTCGGCGCCAGTCAAAACGCTCCAAAACTTTTTAACAGAACTCCTTTTTCTATCATAATCCTGGGAAAGGGGGAGCATCTCACCTGCGTTTGGAGGGTAGACAGATTTCGTGCTGCACAAATCTAAGGCCATGTGCACGATGAAATAGTTTTTCAAGTTCAGTGACCTTAGAGCTTAAATGGAGTTCTTGATTCGTTTCGCGCAAGTCCACGAGTCGTTTCGAAAGCCCGAAATTGAGGCTCTTGCAACTCTTGTGGGGACTAATGTTGAGTTCTTAGAATACACAGAAAATGTCTGTTGCCTATAACCGTTTCCGTAGGGGAAAGCCAAGATTCCCGAACTATCTGTATAGCTTGAGTACTAATTTTTTGGTCCAGACACCGTTTGCCCTCATCAAACTCCAAGATGAGGCCACTGCAAGAGCAGTCATATCTCGAAGCATCCTTGCAAAGGGTATTTATGAAGTCTGGGGACAGGGTCAGACTTATGCAGAACTACACGCGAATATCCGTAAACGGACTGCATCGAGATGGAACGACTTTAAAAACATATCATTCAAATTTTCCATAGATACCTATGCGGGGAAACGCTCAGCAGAGGAGAAACTTCAATTAATCCAGTCTTTCGCATACATGGGTTTTCAAGGTACAATCACAATGACCGATCCTGATGAGAAGTTTTGCGTATTTGAAGAATATCCGCGGCGCCCAGTTAAGCCAGGTGAAATGCGACCTGCTCCAAATTTGCTCTACTTCGGTAGATGGATTGCGTGTGGGAGCAGAGATGTCATAGATAAGTACGACTTGAAGAAACGAAATTATATTAGCACCACCTCAATGGATGCCGAGTTGACCCTGGTTACGGCGAACATGGCTCTGGCGGCGCCAGGCAAGGTTTTTTTTGATCCATTTGTGGGAACTGGAAGCTTTTGTGTGGCTATGGCACATTTTGGAACATACACACTGGGCGCTGATATTGATGGACGCAGCTTCAGTGGTAAAGATAAGCAGAAAGGCAAATCGATAGGCCTCGTCTCGAACCTTGAGCAATACAGTATCCAGCAATATTTCTTGGATGTTTTCATCTCAGACCTGACGAACACCCCCATTAGGGCAACGCAGTTTCTTGATGGCATTATTTGTGACCCACCGTATGGTGTTCGAGAAGGATTAAAAGTGTTAGGAAGCAAGGACGGTAAAAAGCGGGAACCGTTTCTTTTAAACGGTGTCCCAAGTTATTCGTAAGTGCACTTTTTCCCCCTTCATTGTTCCGCCCCATATCTGTTTGATATCATCCGTCATGGACGCAAAAAGAAAGGGGAAAAAAAAAAGTCTTGGTTCCAAATGTTAATTTTTCTCCGTTTTTCTCTCTGATAACCAGTTTGGACGGATACATTGCCCCCAAAAAGCCGTACAGCTTCGATGCAATGCTAGACGATATTCTTGAGTTTGCTTCTATCGCCCTCGTCCAAGATGGGAGAATATCGCTCTGGATGCCCACAGCCAATGAAGATGATGTCGAGCTTCAAATCCCAAGTAATCCGCATCTTGAACTTCTGAGCGTCTGTGTGCAGCCTTTTGGTCGTTGTGAGTTCTTCCAATTTTGCGCATTCTCCTATGTTTTTATTCCATGTCTTGGGATTAATTACTGCCTCCAGAGTTTCTATCTAATTCTCTTTAAAGGGTCTCGTCGCCTTCTCACATACCGTCGGCTTCCAGATGGAGAAGTCTCGCACTTCAAACCTCGGCGACAGAGGGAAGGGATAAATGGTGTGAATGCAGACGATTTAAATGCCTTTCGGAGAAAGGTATGGAGTATATAACTTTTGATTTGCATGCGGGTTTCTCTGTCGAATTAACATCTATCAAATAGTACTTTACAAAATCCAAATCGGAACCCAGAGATAGCCCTGACGATAGGGCACCCTGAGATACGTGGGACCATGGTTTCAGTCGTCTCTCTCTTGTTTATTATCCATCTACCACAGAGGGGTACCAAACGCATCCATGACCGATTACCTTCATCGACAACTTTTCTCAACGCAAAATGTCATATGCTTTTTTTTTTTGGGGGGGGGGGGGGGAGGGGGAATACTCAGTCAAATGAAATCAAAAATAAACCAGTCTGCTTCTAACCTCAGCACGAAACACTAACAGAAAATACTTATCCCGGCGTCAAAATATCACAACTTCTCCATCCCCCTCCCTATCCACTGCTCCAAATATCCGTCAAGGTCCAAGTCAACACCCTCCTCTTCCTTAACTCGGATCACCTCTTTCGCCAATTCCGCCCTCAATAGAGCTACCATTTCCTGCGCTTCGTCGTCGTCCAGTTCGTCTCTCTGCCCACGCCCAAACATCCTCCAGCCCCCCTTGGCGGGAGTTCTCGCATCCAAAGGCGGCCTTGGGATAATATGGAAGTGGACGTGGGGCACTGTTTGTGACGCTCTCGCTCCTGTTTTGTATGGAAATCGAGAGAAACGGGTGAGAAGTGTGAGAAGCAAAATTGCGTTATGCCAGATTCAAAAGAAAAATGAAAACATATAACGTTAAATACGGGTGCATGCGTGATCAGGCATATTAAGTTCGATAATATCCGATGAATATATAACTTATAAGGGTTGGGAACACACCGTTATTTTGCACAACATTCCAATGAGCTTGTTCTTCACCACGAGCATCTAACTCGGTTCCCAACACCGTCCTAACCACCACCCGAGAGAGAATCGTTAACCATTTGCCTAGCTGCATAGATAGCATTGTATTAGCATATACAGTTACAGTGGTTGATATTTGATGTTTTGAAGAAGAAAAAAAACAGAAAGAAAAGAAAAGAAAGAAAAAACAACAGCAAGAAAGAAAGCCAAAAGTTTCTAACCTCGCTCCCCGCCTCAACCCCTACATCCCCCAACTTCTCGTAATGCCCTCTGGAAACCACAAGCACATGGCCCCGTGTCAGCGGCATGATGTCCAGAACTGCCAGGACATGTTTTGTCGACAGGATCAGGTGCGTCTGTGGCTCCGGTGGACCTGAATCGGGTGTCGTGGTTGTCTGGAGGTTGGTTGGCAGGTCCAAACGGGAGGGTGGGAAAGGGGGGTGAGCGGCTGCTACGGCACAGAAGGGACAGGATGGGGAATGGGGGAGATGCGGGTTGGGGAAGGGTTTGGCACGCCTGCGATCTGCTGGCTGCCATAAACCTGATGTCATTTTGGGAGAGTGATATTGCCCCGGGGAAGGGGGGGGGGGGGGGGGGGGGGGTTTTGGGGGGGTAAAAAATGCGGTAAAATTATTCTTGGCGGTGATTTGTTTGATCAGGGACAAAAGAGGTTGTTTTAAATAACTACGTGTTGGTAAAAATGGGTTTGAAACGGGTTGGTTTGGACGTTGATTTAGGTTGTTGAAAATATCCGGATAAAGCAAAATATTGTACATCTGAATAACAAATCATCGGGGAAAATGATTATGTCGGAATGTTTATCAAAAACCGAAAAGAAAGCAAGTTTCAAAAGATATCCGATACATTTGGAAGCCAAAACGGAGGACAGTTTACCCCAATCTAACTAAGCCCGTGCAATTAGGAATAACTCGTTAATTATCCTTTTTTTTTTCTGCGCACAACGAGTTCAACCACGTTCGGTCTGAGCGGACTTGAGTCTGTCGCAAGAACCGAGGCACAATCATGTCAGCTAGACCGGAAATACACTAGCGTACACTCTAAATTATCTACATCAGCTTCAAAAATGCTCATCGCCGTTAACAAAAGCATCCGCATGGCAGTCCGTTAAAAGTACGTCAGTTGGAACCGAGAAACGGGAAATAAAATAAAAATAAAATAAAATAATAAAATAAAATAAATAAATAAAAATAAATAGAGCACGCGACAAAAAGCTTTAATGCCGGTGTTAGACTCAGAAACAACATGCAAGTGGTATCTAAGGTTCATGAATCTTGCCCCTTACTGTCTCACTTCAAAGTCCTCGCAGAAGCCCGCCCAACCTTCAAACACCCGATGTCAGATGCAACCCACACTGCAAGAGACATTCAGACGTATGGACTTCTAAAAAGCTATCGAGAGGAGACGAGAAAATCCATGTTCCCATCTTAGACACCAGTGCTTTATTTCAGAGTAATAGTAAAGCCGAGAACAAAAAAGATGGGCGTATAGCACAGCACCAATAGACATAAATAAAGCATGTAATTTATGTTTCTCAATCTCCGAATCTTCGTCCAGAGGCAAGAACAGCAACGCAAGCAGAGGAAAAGAAGAGGTCATCAGAGGAACTACAGCTCTTTTTTGAATGGAGGAGGAAGAAATCAAAAAACAAAACAAAACAAAACAAAACAAGGCGAAAAACAAATAGAGAGAATAATAAGTAGAAAACGGCACAAAGATGTTTTCCAACCCTTGACGCACTTTTAACACCGCTGGCAGGTTCCAAAAACCAAAAAAAAAGGGAAGGTAGAAAAGAATAAGGGCGCCTGACTCGTGGAAAGACAAATAAAAAGACGGCGTAGAATGGACGACTATGCAATAATCAACAAGGCAGAAGCTACGAACCAGACAAGGGGCAAGAATCTGAAGGAGGGTTGTGGATGAGGGAAGATAATCACAGAATACCTAATGATGCCATCATAACAAATGCAACCTCACGTATACTCCGTCATGAACTCAAAAAAAGACCAAAACCCAAAAAAAGGAAATAATGAGGAACAGAAGAGCGGGCCAGGCGTGTCCTTGGTAGGCAGGAGACAACCCCCCAGCCAAATACATACAGGATAAGACACGAATAAATGTATATATCACAATCATAGCATAGAAGTGTAGGGACCACTAAATATGTATCAACTATTGACCACTCTTGGTTTTGCTGTCACTTTTGGCGCAGTTATTGCTTTCTGTCGAGTAAGCACTATCACTATCGAGGTAGAGAGAATGGTATTTCTTGGCCCACTGGCGGGTGACAATTGAAGCTGATTATCACAAGGAGTAAGAAAAACAGGCTCGTTATAAACAGCAATGATATAATAAGGGAAGCAAACCTTTCATAAATTTTTTGCTGGCGTATTTTTTGAAGAATGCCTCGTGGGCGACAGGACGGTGGAGATAGTCAATCAGTAATCGGAAAACAGGGAGAATTTCCTCTTGGGTATAACCGGCATAATGTGCAAGGGTCGCGTCCTAATACGCCACTTAGTAGGTGATAAATCTGAAAGCATCTAAATCACATGAAGGGACAACTCACCCAACGACCAGAATTGAGGATTAAACGGGCGAGGTACATGGCGGCAGCGGCAACATGGCTTTGTCGGTAAGCCATAAACCTATGATCAAGCAAGCTGACTTCAGTCAAGTACTTTCCGAGAGTTCGTGTCTGGATGTCATAGTTGTCTGCCTTGGATATTCTGCGCAGGAAGTTCATGGGATTTGGATAGCTGATATCATAGTTAAGTGTAGCAAGGACGTGTCGTTCCGCGTCGAGAATCTCTTTGTCCGAGAAGGTTTCATCGGCGACATGGCTGAAGTTTGCAACGTGAGGGGACAAGACTTCTTCGTACTTGGCCGCGATGAACATGGCTGTGACTCCAACTAGTTGCAGCCTATCGAGCGCGACAACCTCAGCGGACAAAAAGCGATCGATGATGTTAACTGCCAAGAAGAGGGTTTCCGGGAGGAGACGAAAACGGGTGTGGACTTCAATAAGCCAGTCAACTAGGATACCACGCATTTTCCACTCGAGTTCTTCTTGATGGTCGATATAGTCCGGGTTGGGCATAGTTCGAGGCTCAATCTCTTTTAGATAGTCGAAGATTTCAACAACGTATTCGGCGGCCATTAGAGGATCGTAGAGATCCTCAGTATCGAGATCCAATACCTCTTCTTCCTCCGCAGTATCATCTTTGATCTCCTCGATCTCCTTCAATACGGCCTGTTTCTCGACGACAGTCTTTTCAACTTCAGGCTGTTTCCCAAGTTCAACCTTCTTTCGAGGTGGTTCCTCAACCGTACTGGCACTATCTGTTCGAACAGTTCTATGGCCCGTTGGGCGCTTTGTTTTTGCTCCCCCCAAGACACCAGAACCGCTGCTACCTAGACGTTTCAACTCGGTTGTTTCTCGTTCTTTGTTAGTATCTTTGGTACTAAGAGCTGGCCGTGACGTATTTGCTCGACTAAGCTTCTGAACTCCTGCGCTGTGGGTAGACGCCTTTGAAGTTAGACCAACGCGTGAAGCTGCCGGCTTCTTTCCCTCTTTGGCATCTACATTGTCATTCTTCGTCATGTTGCTGACATCTCCAAGGGCGGGGCGTCTTCGTTGAGTGGCAGCATTGGCGACACTGGTGGCAGATTTCTTCGATTGTAATGGTTTCTTGATCGCTTCGGCTGTGGCTTGGGCTTCTGGCGCGGCAAGGGCGGCAGCTTTTGCCCGTGTGAGACGTATCGTAGCCGCATTTTCATCGTTTTCGTTGGTGACAGCACGTTGGCGAAGAGACCGTGGCTGGAAAGGGGTTAGCGAGGATGCCACACCAACAGTTATCAGGAAGGAAGTGCAAGAAAGCCATTGGGCGCATGATAGATGAGTTAAGAACACCAGAAGATCAAGAGACTTACAGGGGGCATCTTGAAAGACGTGAAGAGTTGTTATGAACGCGTCGAACGGAATTGAACAACGTTCTCGTTGCTCCCAACCAATACTGACGTGCAGCGGTCGCAAATGTCTACTCTTTCTGCGTCACGGTAGGATATTAGTTGATGAAAACTCGAATGACACGTATGAGCGGTTGTGTCGTATCAATTGTTTTACAAATTTCATGGAAGAATGCAGTGTTGGTGAGGGCGGATGAAGCTTTGTTGTGGTTGTTGTTGAGGTCAAAACCGGAGCAACTAACCACGCCAGCCAAATGCAGCAAGCAAAACTTTTAACAGTGATATCCTCGAAATGAGGACTCCGAGCAACAGAGGAGGGAAGGGAATTGAGTGAGGACGAGGGAAATGGCGGTATGGGAGGGTTTCTCACCTGGTGTGTCTTCTAAATTTGAAAGGGAAATCAGGAGACAGCCTTGGAGTAACCTGGCACGTCAATATGTTTGCCCGTCTTCTAGCGCGGCCAATTGGTGCCAAGAGATAAATGAAGAACCCCCCCGCGAGAAATCACACGATAACTCAGACTGGGCTGCAGGAGCTGAGAGAGTAGAATAGAAGAGTAGGATGCGCGATATATAAGTACAGGGTAAGATGGAGGGTGGGGATATGAGAGGAATAAGAGGGAATGCCTCTTGCAGGAAGAGACGGGGTGGTTGGGCGTTGTTGAAGAGAAGAAGAGAAGATGAAGTTGAGATGAAAGACGGGTTTAAGAAGCGAAATGGTAAGAACAATTAATTCGACCCGGACTTGTTGTGGTGTGTCCGTGTACCGCAAGAGTACCTAATCGGTACGCCTACCTGCTGCGGCCAGACAGGTACTGTTGTGTACTCACGCACACAACCACGCCAGACCGCGCTGATTCCGTCCAGGCCGCGTTGGAGCCGCAATTCGACTGCGGTAACAGCCCGTCACACCGTTACAAGACGCACGGGCCAAAGAGTAAACAAAGGCCGTTGGCCAGGAAACAGTCATCATATTTCCGTTGGCAATTAGAATTTCTTCCGTTGCAGGCATGTATTGTCGGTATTGATACGGGCACAAGACAAACACAGCGCGCAGACAGTAATTTACGGCGTTCTGTACCGTAAATTGGCTACGCCAGCCGGAATAGTTAGAACGATATATTTAGTTTGCTAACCAGTTAACGCTAGCTAACTAACTAGTTATAGTTAGTTGGTTAGACAGGGTTGCGCGTGGAAAGTTGCCTACACAGAACTTTGGAAAGGCTGAAAATAAATATCATGTGACCAGAATATCATGTGACCACGTCGTCCGGCGAACTTTGTGTGACATATGTGCACAGCGGGGAGAGCGTGGAGTGCAACGGCAGCAACTATTATTTGCACGTATCAATCGCGGCCCTACAGTATCAATTGATATCAATTGCCGCAAGATAGGGTTCTGGGTCTGCTGGGATACCGTATATATTGAGGTCTGCTCTCCGCCCTTGTTTCACTTCACCTTCTAATTCTTTAACCAGTCTCATCCTGCAGGCACCTGGTTTGGGCAGCTCTCTTCCCGCCCATCATGCTCCAAACACGCCTCTCATTGAGGAGCCTACAGACCTCCTGTAGATGTCTTTCGTCGATTACAGCCCGCGCATACTCCAGCATCGTTGACCAGAAGCCTGAAGAACCTCCCCAACAGGAGAAAGTGACACCCAACTTCGCTTTTGCTCCTCCACCCGTTCGAGATAAAGAAAGCCTAGGTCTGCGGACCTACACCCCTCGCACCCCCGGTGTGCGACATTTACGACGGCCGATAAACGATCATTTGTGGAAAGGAAGACCCTACCAGAAGCTGACGTTCCCTAAAAGGGGCCATGGCAAAGGTGGTCGAAATAATACCGGCAGAGTGACAGTACGACACAGGGGCGGAGGTCATAAACGGAGAATACGTACCATCGATTTTGAAAGGAAGGAACCAGGACCCCATACCGTTGAGAGAATCGAGCATGATCCCAATCGAAATGCACATATTGCTCTTGTCAGGTCCAACAATACCGGCAAAATGAGCTACATTATCGCTGCAGAGGGCATGAGGGCCGGTGATGTCGTGGAGAGTTACAGAGCTGGTATCCCCAACGAGCTATGGAAGAATATGGGCGGTACAGTCGATCCTGGCATGCTGGCTGCCAGAACCGCATGGCGGGGCAACTGTCTCCCCCTCCACATGATCCCCGTTGGCTCATTGATTTACAATGTCGGCTTAAAGCCGGACAAGGGCGGCCAGCTGTGTCGGGCTGCGGGTACCTTTGCAACCGTCACTCTAAAAGCCACTGAGGGGCTGTCAGAGCAGTTAGAGCAGGCGGAAGCTCTGTCACTAGAACAGACCGGGAAATCCCTTACAATGCAGGCGAAACGTAAGCTCCAGCAGCTGGCGGACCATGTCACTATTCGCCTGGCAAGTGGCGAAGTTAGACTTATCCACAAGGACTGCTGCGCAACTATTGGTGTTGCGAGCAATGCCTATTTCAAATATGGACAGCTTGGGAAAGCTGGGCGAAGCAGGTGGTTGAATATTCGTCCCACTGTTCGTGGTCTTGCTATGAACGCAAAGGACCATCCGCATGGTGGTGGGCGAGGAAAGTCGAAGGGAAATGTCGATCCAAAAAGTCCTTGGGGCAAACCGGTACGTCCCCATATCCCATTCTGTGTGACTTCTAAGAGCAAAGCTTTCCTCCACCATTTTCCCCTTTACTCTGTTTGCTAACCTCGTTTGGTGAAATACAGGCCAAATCTGGCTATAAAACTCGACCGAAGAACCGTATTAACAAGGCTGTCGTTATTCCACGCGTACGGAACCAAGGCAAACGTCGCAGAGGTTACAACTAATGACCTCATTTGTCTGGCCTTCCTTGTTTTTTTATAATAAATATTTTCCCCGCCCCCCTTTTAAATTTGCTTGTACTCATATGACCGTTTCTCGAAGAATAAAGCATTTATTTACTGTTTGGTTTGATGACTCTCTATTGTGCTAAAAGGCAGTAGGGCAAGTTTTATGCCTGCTCTGCACTTATATTCCTGACCTGGGTTCCTGCGAATGCTTGGTTTCAAGCATCTCATCCACTTCACAAAAAAGGGGAAGAGGCTGTTGGCCAGCCTGCTTCCAATGGTATTTTTCTTGCACCCAAGGCATGTTCGCCTTATTATTATAGAAACCTTACTGGATATAGGCGCACGAGTTCCTATAGGTGGCTTCGACTTACATCCTCTTCAAAATTCTGTACAACATTTTTCGCTGATACATATCCTCTATTTTTCCATCTTCAACTAGATCTAGCGTCTGCGCATCTTTATCTCTTCCCGTTTTCCACTCTCGGCTCTGATGGGGTGCAGTCCACTAGTTCCGTATTTCGATTTAACAATGAAGAAAATATTCACCAATTCAAGTAGCTCATGAGAAATATAGAAGAAATTCAGAATCATTCTCTCACAGTTGGTTAAAACCATCAATCATGGTATTCATGTATACATGAATAAGATGCATTTGAAAAGAGCCAAGTCATCTTATAGATGATATCAATCAACAGCATAATATGATTCAAGAACAAAAGAGATGCGGGACAGTGTACGGAGCAAAGGAGACGAAGTATGACGGAATGGATCAGGTGAAGTGGGTATCATATAGAGAGAAAGTCAGGGAATGAGCGGATACACGGAAATAACAAAACACCACAATGCCGCACGATACAAAAATATGGGGACAGCGGGGCCCAGATGACATGATGGCAAGCAGTTGCTATCATATAAACTTCTCACGATCGACCCCACCTTTACTCATCTTCCATCGCCATCAAAGCCGGCGCATAGGCCTTCTTCCTGCACCAGCGCACCAGCTTTCTCATGCATTCGATATTAACAGCATGTGCACTCGCCAGATGGAGGATAAACTGACTTTTACTTAGACAGCGATCCCAGCCTATACAGTCCCCAAACCCATGGACATCCCAGAGGTGGTACATGCGCGTTTCCCACCTGTCGACGTGGTCGGGTCTCTCAAGCATGTCGTCGCATGCCTTGCACCAGTCAATCGTCATTTCTCCACTCTCATCCTCATCATCTTCCCCAAAGAATACTGCTAGATTTGTAAAGCCCGAGATTCGGGGACATGTGTAGATGTCCCTTATCCTATGCCAGAGGTCAAAATGCTGTAGACTGGGATGAACCACCCGGCAAGACTTGCAAGTATGTTCTGTAGTTTGTTGCTGATGCGATGTGCCGATCTGGTTGATACAATCTTGCAGGGTGGGGCGCTGCAATGCCAGAAGTGACGACAAGTCCCAGTGCGGCCGGCCATTAACAGGTTCTGCTGACCCCTTTCTCCATGGAAATGGCGATTTGATGGGATCCCACATTCGCATGGTTTGGCCGGCGCTAAAATGACGAGCAAGATGAGTCTGCCGATCTTCCCAGGAGCAAAGAATCTGGGAGCAGAAGCCGCAGTTCCAGAACATGCTTACTTGTTGCCGCTCCCTGCGACTTCTGGAATAGACGTTGGGTTCATGACTTCGTTCTCTCTGCTCGCTGGGGGGAGGGGAATCAGATAATCCTGGTTTCTGCTTGTGGAGAAAGCGGTAGCTCTTTTTCCCTTTGCTTGAACCGGAGCCCAAGGAGCCAGCGTCGTCCCACCGTGCTATACTGTGTTCGTAGGGTTGGTTGAAGCTTTCAAAATCCTCTAGGTGAAATACTTGCTCATGGGTGAGCCAACCTGTCTTGTCTTCACATTGGAATAGGCAGAAAGTGCACTGAAACCGTTCTAATGTCGTAAGGGGGGTTGTCGACACTTTGAGAGGCAAACGAGGCTTGGCGTACGAAAAACCCGCGTTGGATAAAATCGACCTTTGCGGATTGGAAGTATAACGCCTTGTCTCCCTTGTAACTATTGTCGATCTTAGCGACGGACTTTGATCGCGGGTTTGCCTTCCTGGATGTGAAGGTTTTAGGGAACTTTTCCGACTGCTGATATTTGTATCTGAATCCGGAATATGACGGCTGTCTTTATAGTTCGATTCTTCCTTCTTCCTTCGTGGAAGGTGGAGGAGGACTTGTTTGATAGATGCTGACCACGATGGTATTAAACCTCTTTTAAGATTTTCCTTTGTGGTGTTTGATGGGCACCGGGTTAGAGGGAGTAGGTTATTAGAATTTTCTGGGGGATTTTCCGGATACGATGGGCGTAGATGATCCCTCAGTTTTCTAAGTGCTCGGGAAGCGGAACGATGTGGCAGTAATTCCGGACGGTGAGAGTTTTCAGGCTTAGAAGAAGAAAGGGGAGGATATGCGTTAATTGAGATGTCTAGAGAGACGCTGGGAGTGTGGTGAGACACACGAGGGGCATATGCTTCCACCGGCCTTTGAAAAGGTGGTTGCATCAATTTGCAACTATTTGTATTAAGATTTTTTAAGGTTGAAAGAGGTCTAGAGGCGTTGCTGCAAGCATTCTGTAGGGCATGATTTGAAATATGGAGATCACACTGGGTTGTGCTATGCAACAGTCAGGTAAACGAAAGAGAAGATTAAGTGAAATTCTCCCCTTTTGTCATAAGAACTCACTTCGCCTCCGTCTTCGGGAGAGACCATGTTAAACCCTCGTCAACTGCACCTAATCTGGTCTCTTCGCCCACTATATACGGACTGGAACATGAATGATCCATGTACCCGCCGCCGATGGGGGTTGAGCACAGAGGGCGAGAAATACTACCACAGAATCAAACTACAAATACATCGCTGAATTAGACGGATATAAAAATGGAACTCGGGACATGAAGGCATCTCCCTTCTTCGACAAGGAAAGGGTTGGCTCACTTAACTGTGATTCTGCTCAAGTTGACTTTTTGTGTCTGGTATCAGGCTGCAGCCTTCGGACGATTCCTGGGAACCTTGAAATGTAATTCAGCCGTACACCAGGAACGTTTTCGAATTAAAGTTAACATCATTTGCCTTTTTATCAAGCCATTAACAAAATTTCCTTATATGGAGCACAAAAACCCAAAGAGGACGAACTTTCTCTGGCCAACCGTAGGTTATTTGAGAGTTTTCTTCTAGAGTTGAGTGCAAAGAGTCAAATGGGAACGTCTTCTTAGAATACACCCTGTCTGTCGAAGCAAGCACCATGTCCTCATCTTGTAGAGAAGCGTGGTGCCTCTTAGAGGTTGAGACCCACGGAACTGACGCCGGATCAAGACGTGGGGTTTCCCCATCACAGTTTGTGACTGCATGCTTTAACGCGTATGGGGTGCTGGCTAATGCCAGAGGTTAATTGTGATAAGGTAAAATCATTCCTAAAAGCTTGATGTGTAACAAGCGTAAAACGAGAAAAAAAAGAAAAGGTTTTTCTAAAAAATAAAAATAAAAAATAAAAAATAAAAAATAAAAAATGAGATAGGAACATGGAGCGAAATGAAAGTAAAGAAATGCTTTTTGCTGTGCCAGATGTCGGTGAATTCGCTGCATCGCAAGCTCGTTCTAGTGGTTTGAGCAGGGGATTCGCCCCGGTCCTTTAACGAATCTCAGCGGACTTGGTCGGCCACAAGAATGCTTCTCTTGCAAGTAGGACACGTCGGAGTGAGCTGTACGGCAAATAGATTTGCTCGCAGCTCGTCGCCGGTATTGCACTTCGTGTTGAAGCGCTATTGGTGATTTAACTAATAGGTCCTGCATTGGTTTGCAGACGACCGTGAGCCTGTATTTCAAGCAGCCACGTAGTGTGTCTGTCTTGAATCACTTTGTGCTATTGTTCTGGTTTCCCTATGGATGTAGTTGAGTGTTCCCCATTCATGTCTTACTCTTCCTTTCTTTTTATGTTTTCTAGAGTTTTCCACTTCCCACCCCGACGACGACATCCAAGGGCGATGACTCGGGTGCCTATTTAGAGCCTCCAGCAGCGGCTTCACCGCTAATCGTTGCGCAGGAAATCGGCAGCGCTCAGGTTTATGCATTGGAGTCCCTGATATTTGCGAGCCGGTCGTGTCTTCACCTTCAGTCATCCTTGGATGTTTGTTGCAACGGCTTCTAAACGCATGATTGAAGGCTGCCAGAAATGTTTAGATCATGGTCAGTTCACTAAGTTAACGTATTTTCGCAGAGTCTAGTTGCGAACCAATTCAAATAAAACAGCTTGAACCTACAACATTTAAATGTTCAGCAATCACGGATACAAGTCAACTTTTTTCTGACTCCAAGCCATTGAAAATCAGGGCTTAAGTCAGTGAGAGGCTACCCGGCTATAATATTTCTTTTCAAGTTTATATAATTATACTATTTGTCATTTAGAGCCTGTGTTCAACATTTAGATAGGATTTTGCACCTCTGTGTTGATGTTTAGAACTTCATCAAGCAAGTCGGTTATTAATAGAGTTTCTCAATCAAGCAGAACACTTAACGGAGTAATATTGAATTTATCAATCTATATATACTTTAACATGTCAAAATGTAAATAAATTCATAATGATAATAAACTTTAAATAAACTTTACGGAAATAAAGAATAGATAAGCTTAACTACTTTTTTTCAAAAATAAAGCAATTATCCTCTTATAAATATAAAGCTGTATAATATTTCATTCTTTATCTTTATTTATTCAATTAGTTAACTACTCTTTATTTAAATTATGTAGTATTATATTAATTAACTAACTAAAGTTAGAAAGAAAATACTTGGTTTAATAAATTCTAAGTCTAATTAAGAATAACGTAATCCACGCCCATGCGATTTTCAAGGGCCATTGAAAACTGAGATTGCTAACATTCTTAGTTATTGCATTTTAAAATCGCTGATTAGGCAGCTTGCAGATTGAAAAGGACATCTAGTTCTAACGTGACCTAATTGGTTTGCAGTCACTGCAGTCCGCTTCCGCGGTGGCTCATCAGCTTCCTGTTCAAAGAAAATATATCAGTAACAACTTCGGCTTCTGCTTAAATTTTTGAGACTTTTTTAGTTAGAGTTGAATTAATCTAGTTAGTGAAGCAAATATAAATTTTATTTATCAGCAGCTTTCTTCACTTCTTTCTTGATAGAAGCTTTCTCTCTTTGTGAGTTCTACACTTGCTAAATGATTGATGAATTTCATGAGTCTTTTGATAACTAACAAAGATTTTGACAGAAAGGCTGAGCACACCGTTCAAACCCCTTTACGTGTCTTCATGTGGTGCCTATTCAGAGGGCATGCTGAACCAATAGATTCTGACTAGTTATAGAATACATGGCAAAATATATTGCTTGAGTTCATTCGAATCAAAGTGACAGTTTTATATCACGTGGGTAGTATGAGTTGAAGGTTTCAACTCTGTGGGCTTGGGATAACCATTAACTAGTTATCCGCCAAATTTGCAAAATCTTCGGCAACAGTTAATAACAACCTGCCTGCCTGAGACAGGGATTTATAGTACTGAACGCTCTTCGTTCGGTCACTAGTTTCTTCAATTTGAATGACTTGTCTGAGCAAGTTCTCTGCTCACTATTGGTTGCTGATTCAATGGAAAAGCGACTTTTCGAGCAAACAAATCCACTTTAGATATTTATTTAACTTGACCTGCACATTATCAATTTCAACGGAATTGAGCGCACCAGTCCTGCCACACATCAAGAGGCTACATCAGATTGCTCGACGAAGAAGTAGAGTCAAGATAACTTCTGTGTAGCTTTGTGTGGCTGGTGTACCTATTCCGAAAACCAAGCAGAGCGTGGTGCGTGAGCACATTACGCTTGCCGACCGTTCTGTTGATTGATGTTCCCAACTGTTCCTATGCATCCAGTGGACTCCTTAATTTTACCATGGCCATCGAAGAATCCACATCTGAAGGTACTCCGTAGAAGGTGCGGACGATTTTGAGTAGACGGCCTCCGTCGAAAATCAATTGTCTGAACTGCATATGCCCCGTGGAATTGAATAAGTGTTTCTCAAAGTTAACGTTTGGTGTTTACAGGTTGGCGTATCCCTTACGTCCCATACGGTGGTTGCAAATCCAAAAAATTGTCAAGATAGCGGTGGCATAAGAGATGAATATTTAGTCAACAAACTTTGGTTATTAGTTAACCAAAGGTTCTTGTGTAGACAGATCCATGTGTGCCTGGGTACTAGGTGAACAGACGCCGTCGAGATGACATGAAGGACCGAGTTGGTTGACATGTCAGTTCCGAATGCGATGCCGGCGCAAACATCCTGAATTTATATTCATTCTGGGCCTAATCGATGACTCCCTTCTGACGCCAGCCCTGAGTCCTGACTAAATAAACAGGAGCCCTGGAGGCGTGGAAGTGTGCGTCAAGCAGTGCCAAGTAGCGTCAAAATCTCTCCTCGTTGGATGCAGCCAATACAAGTTGCCGCTAAAACATGCGCTTAGTGAAGATCCTAGAGTGGGCAAGGCAGCACTATTACTGACGAATCTGACAGCGGCTGGTTCCACGATGAAAACAGAATCATATGTCGTCGTCTAAGTGAGCCTGCGGAATAGGTAATCATTTGGTTGTCCTTCTTGCAATTCTTGCCTCCTCAGGCACTTCCTGTCAGCAATTACTTTTTCTCCGCGCACAGTAATAAGTTGGTGTTTGCGCGGTCAACCCCGCATCAAAATGACAAGCGTGAATCCGTCGTCTGCTGGGCAATTCAATGCCCGGTCTGGACAACCATCACCCAATCCACCATCGCGACCAAACAGCCCGACTCAGCAGCAAAAGAATAGTGGAAAACATGGCGGCGGAGAACAACGAGCCAATACCTCAAGCCAAAACGTTTCCGGCTGGGTCCCGCGACCCAAGCGGATAGCATGTGTTATATGCCGAAGAAGAAAGTTGCGATGTGACGGGAATAAACCAAGTTGTGGTACATGTTCCCGTTTGGGGCATGATTGCGCCTATGATGAAGTCAGGAAAAAGAGTGGCCCAAAGAGAGGTTATGTGAAGCAGCTGGAAGCAAGATTAGGTACATTACATCCAAATTTAGCGATTTGTGCCTGGCCCTGTATTTGAATGTAGATAATTGTTGCCAGACATTGCTAATAGATATCGCTCATTTTCTTTTTAGCACAAGTCGAAACCTTGCTCCAATCCCAAGATTCTGGGGACGGCTCGCAAGTGGTGCCGGCAGTCAACCTCAATCATTCTACGTCTGCTGGCTTGGGTAATAATACAAGAGATATATTCAGCACCTCGAACGAAATAGAAGATCCGCCTCCACTTCCTCTTGAAGCCTTCGGGGAATTACCTTCCACTCAAGCTAACCTAGCGGATAATGATGTTTCTCCTGGGGAACATTTCTCGTGGGAGATGATTGGCTTGGGTTTAGATGAGCCTTTCCCAGCACAAGATGTCATCGATGAGCTGTATGTGTGGCCCAAAGCTTTAGCACGTCCCTCAGTGTGAGAATGTTTCCTAACGGATGACGTCCAGCAACGAGATATATTTTCAGAAAATTCACCCATCGCTACCAATCATACACCGGCCACGCTTTTATGCAGCGATGGATCTTGCACCAACCATGCGGCCACCCGTATGTTTACGATACATGATGTGGTGCCTGGCTAGCTCTGTTACGGATGAATATCAGTCATTACATCCACATTTCTATCAACGTGCGCGGAAATATGCTGAGTTAGACCAAATGAGAGGTCTTGGTGAAGCCATGGTCAACGTTGCTCACTCTCAAACTTGGACTTTAATTGCATCTTACGAGTTCAAAATGATGTACTTCCCGCGCGCATGGATGAGCACTGGCCATGCAACGAGGTTGGCTCTTATGATGGGTCTGCACCGTCAGGATGGGAGTGGCTCCGAAATAAAACAGTGTATTCCACCTGCTCGGGACTGGACTGAGCTGGAAGAACGGAGAAGGACTTTTTGGGTAGCATTCTGCCAAGACAGATATGCAAGCGTGGGCACCGGATGGCCCATGATTGTCGACGAGAGAGATGTAAGCATCATCTGCAACTATTTGCATCGTATGGGAAACTTTCTGACAAGAGATGATAGATTTTAACCAACCTCCCTTCTACGGAAGAAGCATTCATCAATTGTAAAGTGGAGAAGACCTACACACTGTCGAGTGTTCTAGCCGGCGAAAACATTTCGACGCTGTCTCCCCTTGGGGCTATTGTTTTGCTAGCATGTCTTTTTGGACGCAGTCTCCATCATCTCCATCGCTCAACACCAGGCGATAAGGACCACGATTTGAATGGTGGGTTCTGGAAAAGGCACCGCGCTTTAGACAACATTCTTCTCAACACTTCTCTTTCATTGCCTAGCCATCTGCGAGTACCAGAAGGTATCAATGACAGTAGTATTGTTTTCATTAATATGTGTATCCACACTTCCATCATCTGCCTTCACCAAGCAGCCATATTCAAAGCGGAGAAAAACGGCTTGCCTAGCCAAATTGCGGCAGAAGGGAAGCGGCGGTGTATAGTTGCGGCAGATCAAATAACCAGCATCATGAAGATGGCTAGCCATCTTGATATGGCAGCGGTGAGTAACTGTGGCTGGTAGTCTTGGTCCATATGCTTACATTTTCTAGATGAATCCGTTCCTCGCGTTCTGTCTATATGTGGCAGGCCGAGTTTTCTTGCAGTGCATGAAGTCCAGAACAGATGACGAATCAGCACATTCTTCCCTTCAGTTCTTACTAGTTGTCATGAACGCTTTGAAGCGTAAAAATCCCCTCACAGAATCACTCATCATGCAGCTCGATGCCGACCTTGAAGAATATGGTTTAGCCGGCAAAACCGGGAACCGCAAATTCTCTTACGGTATGCATTTCGAAAGAGTAAGTACATACCCGCAAACCCTTCTGGACATTTCGGAATAATTTTCACGATGACCGTCTGGTAAATGACCTAAAAACCTGCCATATTAGACTTCGATACCGAGATCTGACTATTGTTCGTCGTTTAAGGGAGTCTTTGAGCAAGCCGCACCACCACCAGGAACCCTCCTTACATCCCCATACGATATTACCACGATCCCTGTGTGCCCCACTCTATCCAATCGTGAAAAGTCTCCCACTGGATTTGCGCCAGCTGTTGGCAATGATATCCAAAACCAGATTATAGAAACAATCGCATCATTTATAGTTCCAACTAATGATAACTTCATAAAATCGATGGCTGTGGATATGGACGTTTCAACGGAGGCAAGCGTCACAAGTGATCTCCGATACTTGTCCTCCGATAATCCCACACCAGGGACAAACCCGTCATCAAATAGTTCGATCTCACCACGCAATATAGATCAACCCTCACCCCCCACCCAACAACTCCGCTACGACCAAATGCAACCATCTCAAAAACCAAATCCCAATATGTATCCCACCGAAATCCCTACTTCGCAATTCGAGCCCTTGCTGAGTAGCAACACTCAGCCTGCTTACGCAAACTACTTTACCCCAGGCAATCCACCGGACACTCCTGGGTTGGAAAACCCGTTCGCTTTTACCACCGGGTGGGATATACCAATTAACCAACCTCGAGACCCAATCACGATAACTACCTCAGAAGGGCTTGTTGAAGAAATACATGACCTCTCTACTATGACATGGGCTGTAGGAGCAGACATTCTTTCCTGGGAAGACTATCAGGTTAACCTGGATTGAAAGTCCTCTCGAAGGCTGATCTAAGTGTTTTCCATTAACGACGGAGATAATGTGGAAAATTCCCGCCCTCTGGAACATGCGAGATGTAGAATCCTACCCGTGTTCATCCCTCGTTTTCGACCTGAAACGGAATGGGCTTGCGCCAGCGGCAGCACTGAATTATCCTTCACTCGGGTATATTCAACTTTTTCGACAACACCTCCTTCCCGTTCGGTTTCTTCCCTATGGTAACGCGGTTTTTGATATACGCAACTGCACTCTTTTCCCCTTCTGCCCCTCCGGGCATCGTTGAACTATTTACTTATATTTTTGGGGCATGTTCTCCTGGCCTGCATAATATTAACCACATGTTATACCTTTGGCATGTGCATTTCAACTTTCACATTTACTTTATCCACGCCGCCACACCCCCTATCTCTACATATTCCATTTCTCACCATGTCTGGAAGCGAGGTCAAATATCAATTATGGGGTAGGAGCCCGGAATTGGAAGTTGTACTTTGGGTGAATTGGGAGCAATTGCTAGCGGAGACAGCTTTGAACAATTTTTTCTGTTGATACTTTTCCGTTCATGCTTTTGTCTTATCTATACTTCTCTTTCTCTTGGGTTGCTAGGATTGCTTGATGGTAGTGATGACTCTAATGCAGCTCTGAAAAACGGTATGGTTTTGTTTGCGGAAAATGAAGAAGCATATTTTCCTGAATAATTGTTTTAGTTCCCTATGGTTTGCTTTGTGTTATCTACGCAGTGATGCACCTTTCCGTTCACACATGCCTTGTTATTCCCGAAGAAATCGAATCTGTGTGAAACCGGCAGCGGCTTTCGCGCTGATAAGAGTCACCGCTCTTCATTATCTCTACGATGTCATTATCGAGCATCATTTATTTTTTTTTTTAAAAAAAGAAACAGATTACGCGAGGCTGACCGTTAAAAAGTTAAATACCCTCCGGTATATACTGAAGGTTCCAAATGTATAAACTTGCTTGTGAGCTTGTCTTTGAATGTCATCAGAAGCGAGGGTTAACGTAATTCATTTCTCATCAATCGTTGCTAAGTAATGTCTCGAATACCGTAGAGATGACTAGTTCTTTATGCCGTGTCACCACTCCAGTCCTCCTCGTGCAGTTAATCGTCTACGACTCGTTACATTTGTGTTTCATGAGGCCCTGAGGGGAACAAAAACAATTGATAATCAACAGGCTACCTATCCCAAAACAACCAAGGTGATACCAAAAGTCAAATCAATAAATACGTGTTATAAATACGCGAGGTGATATCTTAATGCATAAAACGGAAAACACATGATATACGAGGGCCCAGTTGTGATAAGTAGAATCAAGGTATGATGCCTTTCATGATGAGTGGGACGCAAATGGATATGTCACTCCCATTTAGCGCCGCGTCTATATAACTCCATTCCCGTTTGATGTCATGAGTTCCTGAATAAGGAACTCTTATCCACACCACAATTCCATCAACGACGGCCTAAAATGACCTAATCTATCCATATCACAATGGAGCGCTGCTCCCCGCCCCCACAATCCTCAAACCACCGCCACTATTGCTCCCCATGCTATCAGCGGTGACAGAATAAGCAAGCCAATACCGAGACGGATGCCATGCGACCGCCGGAACTCCTACCGCGACTCCAGAGCCGCTCGTGCTTCCAGTTATTCCATTCACGCCGGAGTTAGCACCCAACCCGCCACCCGTGGGAATAGTATATACGCTTTCTCCCGTTTCAGCGTGAAAAATTTCAAGCCCGGAACCGCCACAACCGGGCTCGTCGCATGCGCCGACGATAAATCTACCGTCCCAGCTCCAGCTAACACCCCGCACGGCACCGCCGTTGGCACTTGAGACGGTTCGTTTACAAAACCAGTCTGTAGTATCCCAGAGCGAGATAAGAGCGTCGCTGCCGCCAACTGCTAGGTATCGAGACGTAGGGCTGAGAGCGATTGAAAGGCAGGCAGATGTATGCGCGTGGATTGTATGGAGAGGTGCGAAAGAGGGGTAGGAGACGACTTTTACGGTGCCATCGCCGGTTGTGAGGAAGAGGTCCAGATCAGACGTATTGAAGGAGTGTGAAAAGGTTGCCGCGTTCGTTTGGACAGATTGCTGGTGCGGGGTTAGAGCTTTGAAAGTGCTTGTTGGGGCGGAGGTGCCAGTGGCTATTTGGAAAGTTGGAGTAGATGGCGATTCGACTGAGATGGGTATCAAAGTGTCATCCTGTAGGCGAAGCGCAGAAATGCAATCCGGTTAGTTAGATATGACCAAGCATTATGTAGACCAAACATACAAGTGAAACGGCTACGTATACGCAAGTACTGGGTGAACGAACTTTTCTACCCACTAGAACCACGCTTCCATCAGCGGCCCATGTCATCGTAAAGGCCTCTCCTCCCACATCAACGCGGCTAATACAAGTCTTGGTTCGCACATCCCAGAAACGAACTGTGCTATCGCTCGAACAACTTGCCAACTCCGATTCCTTAACGGGGTTGAAAGCCACTTTCTCTATACCGGCTGAATGCCCACGAAGCTCCGTCGAGTATTTGACATGTGTGCGCTCGGGGTTCCAAATGCGTAGGGTGCGATCCACAGAGCCAGTGGCGATCAAGCTGCCTGTCGGGTTCCACGCAAGTGTTCGGATACTAACGGGGTTAGATTCAGTTTCCAAGTTCAATTGCAGAAGAGGAAGTTAGAAAGAGCATTGAAGAAGTAGTAATCCATACGTATGAGAACCCGGACCCCGCGCCGCTGGATCATAATAAGGCTGCACTTTTAAGCTACCGAAAAAGTGGCCGAAACGGTCCTTCGGCACCATCCTACGGGTTGGGGCTGGCGGCATATTGACTGATGGCCACAGCCCAAGCTCCTCAACAACACTGTCGGCGGGGCGCAGTCCTAGTTTCGTAGGAAGGGCTTGGACATGCTCATTGCGAATAAAAGAGCCGTCGGGTGTTGCGGTGGAACCGGAGTTGGGCAGTTCTGCAGCAATCTGCGGGCGATTGATAACATCGCTAGTTCTTGCCCTAACTCACTTCGAACCGCCATCGCGGGATCGGCAAAACCTGCCCTTTCACGAAAGGATCATCATATATGGGCAAATTTGAAGTAAATAAAATCCAGTGCTCAGTTAGTTTTCGATTATCTCAGGAACATCCCAATTATGAATATTTTCGAGGTTCACGATTGGGAACCTCCGAAAAATAACCACTCTCAAAAAAAAAAAAAAAAAAAAAAATCTCCTGCACCTTCAGGATCAACTTAGAGGGCCTTATATTCACACCTCATATTTGGCGAAATAGTAGAGCTCACTACTGGAATGTACGATTCCGCTCAGATTTCGCGAGGGTTCCAAACAACATGCGATGGGAACAGAAACAATAGTTATACAGTAATATATTGTCGTCATGGCCCGTAACAATCAAATTCCGAATCCGGAATCAAATAACATATTTTTGATATCAACCCCAAAACGTAAGATTGAAAACTCTAATGCTGGTAATATAAGTTACTTTCATAGAGCCCCTCTCTAATAATCTCTCTCTTGAACTATGTGATCTGGGTTTAATCTCTGGGAGACGAAGCGGTGGAAAACCCCAAGCGAGAACCAGTTGAACAGTGTTGATTGATTGTTCATGAACAGGGGGTATAATTCAGGTATCCAAACGGTCCAACATTCCCATAAATATGAGTGGATACCTTTTAAGAGAGAAGAGCTCGGAAACACAGTGGGCTATTTGAATAGATTGAGTTGGATGAAATTGGAAGGAAGGTGTAGAAGTTTAAATTTAAGCTTATGTGAAACTGTCGTGTGGGCGAACCTTAATTCGACTTCATCCATTTCAAAGTCACGGCGCCCAATCGATACCGCTCAACAGCCCTCAACATCAAAGAAATACCAAGGAAACGTCAAAGAAAACTGTCGCCGGAATGTATGAAATTGATGATCCGGATTTGAAGAAAGAGAAATGCTACACTACAATTGGGACACTGCCCTCTTTTGTTGATCAACGCCAGCCGCCTCTAAAAAGATCTCCCTTCTCTTCCATTTCTAACCAACCATTTATTCACACTGTATGTAAAAATGCTTCCGTTGCCATATCAATTATCGCTCTTTTGTTAGTTTGCCCGAAATTAATTTATCTCGGTGCTATGTTCTAACTTGTAGCTAAAGACAGAACTTATTCTACCCAAGGAAACTTATGACGCAGCTTGGGATTCCATATCAAACAGGATTCAAACACCTCAATATGCAAAAGTGATCATGCCACTGTCAGCTTTGCTGGAACATGAATTTTTTAACACTTATATTAAAATCGGTAGCAAAGGGTCCATTTCAACTCGTCGCGATTAATCATTTAATCCCCTTGAAAAAACTCGGGCACTTCACATGCTGATATCGGAAAAATTCTGCAGGCGATATTCTCCTAATTTCAGAGGGCAGGAGTGGTGTCGATAATGTATATACACTCAAAGAAGGTTCTTTGACTCCCTTCTCTTATCAATACATAACCGCAATGCAATATCAATACTGACAAAAATTCCAGGAGTTCTTCGGTTGGAGCTCGATAAGAACTCGTTTGAACGTGCTGGCCTTGACGGCAAACCAATTCGTAGCGGAGGACGAAAGCACGTAAAGGAAAGATATGGTAATGGTTTCCTTTTATCTTTCATTATTGGCCCAAAAATAGCACCTAACTTACGTATTTGTAGCTGTGGAGATCAACCTTAGGTTGCCATCTATGCTTCATGGCAAAAAAGGCTTCGAGCGCGTCGTATGGGCTTTTAAAAATGTATTAACGACTTCCATGACTTGGCTGTTTTGCGACTTAACTCGATCCCCATCCTATTCAGAAGAAGGTAAAAATGCGCGTCTTTCGACCTGTTGCGTTCAACTTCTTCCATTTTATACTCACACTCTACATTCATTCAGAGGCCCCAATCAAAAAGTATTATCCGCAGATTATACAATGCAATCCTACCGTCAAGATTCTTGGAGCAACAATGGTTCCACCGATAAACCTATCAGAGCTTGAAACAGACACTGGAAAATATTTCCTTCACGAAACATGCGACGAGATTCAGGAATGGCTCGGATTAGTGTTTCTCGATTCTCCACGCGTGCATGATAACGATACTATTGATCCGTATTTGAGTCGCTACGCGCTTCCTAGCCATAATGAGTGCACCCCAACTGACCTAGTTAAGCTTTCCTGGAAAGGACTGCTTCCTTCTACCTGGATAGTCCAATTATTTACAGCTACGTTGTGAGTTTACTTCATGGTTTGGAAATCCTGTACAGCAATCTCGAACTTTTCTCAGCAGCCTCAAAACTCCAGATAAAACCTCCTGGAGATTGCATTATAATCCTATTTATATGAAATCCACAAACTCTGACTAATGTCTCTGTACAGGCGCAAATTTGTTTCCTGCTCTTCAAAACCTGGCGGCTGGTTCGCGCTTACATCATTTGCCCTAGGACGAGAAGCAGTAGAAAGCAAAGACGGATATATAATTCTCTCACCGTTGAATGGATGGCCTATTGAAAAGCAACCATCTGAAGCCGAAGCGGCCGAAGCACGCTCGCATCGACAGTTCATATGTTGGGAGTATGCAGGAGGCTCGTCGTATAGTTGACCAATTTATTGGAAACGTGATTTTTCTTAATCGTTACAAGAGGTAGAAAGATGAATTATGTGCATTATAATAATGTAATTGTAGGGCAATGATTTAAAGAACCAGAGATATAATAGAACCTGTCTATGGCAAACTCGACTGTGATGGGTTTTGTGGGGTTCATTTTTAACCAAAATAGTCATGGACAATGAACCATGACATGGAATTGAAAAAGGTAACTAACAGAAACTTAGTTATATCATTGGCCGGTCCCCCCCCGGTAGTCTGTGTGAACACTTGCATTGCACGTTTGAGATAAATCATCTTATTATCCCGTAACCCCACTAGGCATAATAGGCCATTGACTAAATATTTACAGAGAGGGAGTACACAAACGCAGCGTAGAGTAGTACTAACTGGGGGAATCATCCAAAACGAAGATGGAGTTACACCAAAAAAGAATGCGAATAAGTCCAACGGAGCATGCGCAAAACCAACTCATATATCTAGTTCATTCCCACTAATTCAAATCATTCAGCACGTCTCTCAGAACTGGTCTTGTCGCCACAATCTTGGCGCCATCCAGTGCTTTCCAACCCATTTTTTGTGGCCTCTTAAAGCCAATAGGTGCCTGCTCATGTTTGATTGGACTTAGCGCAACTCGCTGTTTACCTTTCAAGGGACTCTGTTCATTAGTGGAGATCCTCTTTCGCGGACTTTTCTTTATCGGGCTCCTCTTCAACTTGTTGCTTATCGACGGCGGCAATGGTGCTTTATTCGTCCCTTTCATTGGACTCAACTGCGTTGGCCCATTGTCAAAACTTTCAAACACATGGCTTTCCACAGCCGCCGGAGGCAAATCATACGTCCATCCCTTCCCATCCATAAGCTCGACGAATTTTCCCAGCAACTCATTGCCATCACGGAGTGTATCCTTGCTCCCAATAATAAGAAGCTTGGTTTTTGCGCGAGTGAAGGCAACGTTAACACGTCTCCAGTCACGAAACAGCTCCCCTACATTCCGCTCGGAGTTGCTGCGGACGCAACTCATAATGATAATTTCTTTATCGCGTCCCTGGAACCGATCTGCCGTGTGCATTTCCAGATCAGGCAGATAGTGGCGGAGGTTTTGTTTCAGGAGGGCTAGTTGACTTCGGTAAAGAGTGATGACACCGATATCTCGGGCGGATATGCCAACGGAAATGAAAGAGTTGACCAGTTGTGCGCAAAGAGTGGCTTCGATAGAGTTGACGATGCGGGATCCTTTTGAGGACTCTTTGGCCTGAGGTACGAGGAAATCGGTGTTAACAAGACGCGCTTTTGCGACAGGATCGAGCAAATCGCGGATCCAACAATGTCCATAGCGGGAGCCTAGACACGGGGATCGGATATTTGAGGGTAAAGACGATGAATTTACATGGTGTTGCTTTAAGCCACTGAGGTTGAGGATTTTGAGGTAACTTGACGCAACTGCTGGGGTGCCACACTTGAGATGTCCGGAATAGATGAGGGTGTTGGAAAGGAGCATTATATCTTCGCACATCCGATATTGGTGTTCCAAGTTGACGACAGATGCTGGCTGCAAGTCACAGAGAAGCTTGAACAAGCTCACATCTAATCCGCCTTCTTGTGCTTCCTTATCCTGAACGAGTGGCGGCAACTGGTAATGGTCCCCGACGAGGATAAATGCTTTCGCCATACGAATGGGGCCCAAGCAAACTGGAAGAGTAATTTGAGACGCCTCATCGACAATACAGTAGTCGAAAGTGCGATTGTTAAAGATAGGATGGTTAATTCCCAAGCAAGTGGTTGCCACAACTAGGGAATTTTCGTATATGTCTCTTAATTCCTCAATTGTCTTCTTGGGGGTGGCCGCCAAGTCAGCAAACTTTTGAACATCCGGGTGGATTTTTGTCGTAGCACCAAGCCTCAGAGTGCGGATATTATCATCCTTTATCTTCAACAAAATATTATCAACAGCTGTATGGGTATATGAGGTTAGAAGAACGCTTTTCCCTTGGGAAACAAGAGCCCGGATAATGTGGGCTATAGTGGTTGTTTTTCCTGTCCCTGGCATTCCTAACACTAAGGCATAATCGTTTGCGCTCATCACTTTGTTGATGGCTTGTTTTTGATCAACATTGAGCTCCGCGTTAGCAAGACTTGATATGGTCGACGAAGAAGTGGGCTTGAAAGAAGGTGCACGGCCATCGATGATCACATCTCTAAGCCGCTTAGCTTGGAGCATAGTATTATCCATCATGCAAACAAGATTATTTCGAACAGTGGCCATGCCACTGCTGAATTCGTCCTTGTCTAGCCGATACATGTTTTTATCCTCAGCTTTTTCAGGAGATATTGTCGATTCACGTCCACCAGTTTCAACAATCTCCATAATTCCTATAAAAGCTTGATGTCGGTCTGCATCGAAATTGGAACGTCTTGTTCGGGCATTATGGAGCCTCCGGTCAAGCGTGACTGAAATTCGTTTGCGGCTAATATGCGTGACGTAACCGCCGGCGAGTGCGAAATGTCCTTTTTCATCAGAAACGACAATAGGGTCCCCGACACTGAGTTGCGAGTCCCCGAAAGAGAAGTTCGCAGGCGGCTGGTGTTTGAAAAATGTATACCTGAAGCGGTTGATTTTTGGCGCATCGGTTTCTTCATAAGCGGACCCCGGCTCGACCATAATGTTGCCAAAGCAGCGGCCAACGGCTTCACGTTCACTGCTTAACATGGTCCATAATTCTCGCCGGAATTTCATTATATCTCTCTCTTCCATGGTTAAAAGGGCATCCCATTTCTTAAAAAAGACTTGGTGGGACGGAGTAAGATGCCCAACAACTTCAAGGAAGCTGTTTCCCAACTCGCTAGTCTCTCCATCTCCGTTATCCATAATTTTGTGGTAGGTGAAACACGCATTTTTGGCATAACACTGGTTGCATATCCGTGGTTTTTTAAGCATCGGAGGCAGTTTTGATGTTTGACATACAAACTCAGAGAGCCGGTTGCGTTGCTGAATCATTTGTCGAATTTCAGTTCGGATAGCTCGAACTCGGGAAGTCTTGGTTACTTCGAGATAATAAAGTATTCCAAAAGTCACATCGATATCTGAAAAATCACTGGTTAGCAAACTATCAAGATTATTTTAGGTATTTACATGGGTAGAACATACCGTATCGATCGGAAAGTAGTAGAGTGTATAACGCTGTTTGTGCCCTGTGAGCCTCGTTGGTGTTGTTTCGCCCCGTTTTCACCTCGAGTGGGACAGTAAGAGTCTTTTGCTCTGTTCCTTCCTGGACAACCACCTGTACAGTTGCATCTATGTTGCCCTTCAAGCCATACATTGGAGACCAGATATGTTCCTCAACTTCCAGAAGCTTGTTGATACTGATACGCGAGCTGGTGCCGTTCCTGTCTTCCATGATCGATTCGGTCTGTATGCTTGTCAGAATATTGAAAACAGACCGAGTTTCAACAAAGGGTAGGGGTAATTCATACTGTAGGGCGTGAGCGAACGAACATATCTGCCCACGATCTTAAGGAGGGCATTTTGCTCATTAGGTACTCGATGGCTTCAGGGAAATCGACTCGGATTTCATACAAACTCTCCACATAGCGTTCCAATGTCCGCGATATGATTTCACGCAACCACGGTAGATCCCAGCGATTCGCGGTCATGGCGGCTTGGAATATTTCGTGAAGAATATGACCGTATACTTGAGGCTTGTTGGCTTCACTGGTGGCTTTCACGCGGTCCTGTAGAACAGCACGGCGCTGACATGTAAACGAGTCCGCAACCACTGTGGCGGAGAGCAGATGATCCGGGTGAAGAATTATAATATTATCGGAGTTATTCACTACACATTGTCCGGTAGGATCAAAGCTTCCGATGAGGTGAATATACGATCCTTTTGTGCAAGGAGTGTCAAACCAGGACTCCCGTAGAGTGATAGCTCGATTGATTTTCGTTTTCTCCTCCTCGACAAACAATACCTACCGTTATATCAGCACGAGTCACAGATTAAAACATACGGCATATCTGGAGCATACTTTTTGGGGCCTCGATTGTCCTTTGCAATTCAAATATGTATTCTCCGCCAAATCAAGAATAAGATACCGTTTAATAGGCTGTGAACATTTACCGTTCTTTGAACAGCTTAGCAAAGCTCTTGAAAATGCTTACTTAGTACATGGGATGACCAACTTGACTTGCAAAACCCGTACTGGCAGTCTTTTTCATTGCACTTTCAATGGACTCCAAGTCAATGTCCTCATCAAATTCATCACCAGAAAGAGACACACCGCCATCCACTGAAGTGGTATTGCTTTCACCCTTACACGCTGCTGCGGCTTCTTCTGTGTCTGGCGCCAAGCGTCCCTCTAGAGACCTGTTTTGCTGTTTCTCAGAATCTGGAAACTCTTTTATATCGTATTGTGCTAGGACTTCTTCCATTCCGTCAGGAAACTCGTCATCGCTATCGTAAAATTCATTAACTTCATTGGGATTGTTATTGGAAGGTGAAATGTGTGAAATTAGTTGTGTATGATGTTTCTGTCGAAAATTGGTATCGGGACAGTCATGGGCGGCAACCATCGTAGGCATGACTTGCGTGGGCTTTTGAGACTGTTGGGTGTTGTGGAGAACTTCAACCTCCGGATGAGCCGTCGTATTTTGGTTATCCGCAGTCCCAGCAAACTCTAGAAAGTCATCATCTAAATCATCATCATCAAACTCGGACATGACAGACAAGTCTTGGTTGGTATCGACATCTTTGTTGTCAACAGCATCTTTGGGAATCACTCTCCTTGAGCTCCTGCACGGTGTATTCATTGGGTTGTTTTCATTTATGCTTGCTGGCTTTGATGGTGGTCTTGGGAGTTCTGCCATATTGCCAGACCTCTCTGGCAAAGGAGTGGAGCTAGAAGGACCTGTGATGTCCTCCCTTGGCAAATTCAAAAGGGTTTCCTGAATTTTCCCCACCAAGAGGTTGATTTTAGATGTCTTTGAAGTTCCTGGACCCAGAAGAGAGCTTCGCGATCCAGCAAATATGTTTCGAACTCTGTTTACAGCCTGCTGTTCATTGTCAACTCCCCTTCTCTTCGTATTGGAAGTTGGCCAGTATACATTGCAACTGATTGATCTACGGAGTGCGGGCGAGTCTTTGCCTAATTGGCCAGGCGCAGGGGTTTGCGGTGATGATGAAATGAGATGAGAGAATTGAGATTGTGGATCATCGCCATCAGGTTTCCCAGTGCTCTTTCCGATATATTTACTCCAAAGGTCGGCAGCAATGTCATGTTGGGGCGTTTTCAAAAGCTTTTGAGGTGGCAGTGGGCTCGTTTTGCTGTTCTTCAAATCCCGTCCGAGAGGGGAGCTGGTTGGTGATGCGCTTCGATGACGCTTTTGTCCTCTTGTGCTTGGTGATCTTGAGGAATCCCTATAATCCATGCTGCATGGCTCATGTTTCCAAAATACATGGTCTTCGGGGGTAATGACCTTTCCAGGAGCCCTGCTGAAAGCTTCCTCCGTATTGCTGATCAGGTCGGCGAGTGGGATTCTGTGTACTGGAGTTTGAGGAAGAGCTTTTTCTGGCTGAGAATCTTGATGCTTCATCCCATTCGGTTGCGTAATGGGTACTGGCAATCCTCTATCTCCTGCTTGGGTTTTTACCTCCTGGTTTTCCTTGTCCACGGGTAGCACGATGGAGTCATCACGGCTACGCTCGAGCGAAGTTGGCATGTTTTCAGGTTGCTGTCGTGCAGTCGGAACATATCGAAATGCATTTAGTTTTGATCTCGAATTCGAAGATATCACAAAAGCATCTCCTGGCATTACAATGGGGCTTTGCTCACGTTTCAAAAGGACGGTTGTTTGTTGGACGTGTTTTCGTTAGGGGGCAGCCAAGGGTCGTTGGAGGTAGAAAATGCCATCCACAGTACTTGTGTTGGCGGTGTTATCGAATATTGAAAAGTCCTTCCGTCGTAGGATATAGTAGAGTGTCGCGAAATTGTTGCTCTGTGAATAAGGCACTTAGTTGTGGTGAACGACGGTTGAAATTGGTTGCTGTGGAAATCAAAACTCGCCAGAACGCGTCAATGGCAAAGAGAGACGTGTCAGCACGTGACGTGGATATCGCGCTTGGCGCTTGTATGTTCTGGCTAAGCGCTGAGCCCTAACTAGGCTACTGCGGCAAAGGTCAAACAAAGCCTTTCACCGAAATCCGCCGAACTCGGCTCACTCCAACCTCCGTCCGCGTTTTCCTCTCCACCCTCGTCTTGCCTCCCTGCTCTACTGCCTCACAGTCATTCTCTTTGGGTCTTTGCAAATATTTTGTTTTCCTATTATTACCCCTTTGCCCATTTCAATTGTTTAGTAGGCGGATTTATTCGGCTTCTGGTCAATTTCTGTTTGCGCAAAATATTTATACGCTGAGTTGTCATATACTATACACGTATACCATTTTTCTATAGAACCGCAAGCTCAAGATGTCGCAGGAGAAGCCTCTGCCGTTTATATACCAATTTGCTGCAGGTGCAGTCGCTGGTGTATCAGAAGTCAGTTTCCCCCATCCACCAGAGTCTGCACTCCGTTGACTAACTGTTGTGTCATTCATCGCGTTGCAGATCCTTGTAATGTACGACCCTCATTACGACCTTGATACCCCTAGCTTCAAGTGACTGTTGTTAACAATCCGGTAACATTAGGTATCCGTTGGATGTTGTGAAGACAAGAGTGTTAGCAATTTCCAATTTGAGTTCTCACAGGTCGTCCTTCTGAATTCTAATGTCCGACGATCATCTAGTCAACTCCAACAAGGAGCAGGAACGGGAGAAGAGGCATACAAAGGCATGTTGGACTGCTTCCGTAAAATTATTAAGAATGAAGGGTAGGTTTATTCCGGTAGTTCGTGCGATATTCGTAAGATTATAACTTTTGGTTTTCTTCAGTTTCTCCCGTTTGTATCGCGGTATCACAGCACCCATTCTCATGGAGGCTCCAAAGCGGGCAACTAAATTTGCTGCCAATGATAGCTGGGGATCCTTCTATCGATCCCTTTTCGGCGTGGAGAAAACCAACCAACCCCTTGCAGTCCTCACTGGCGCCACGGCTGGTGCCACGGAATCATTCGTCGTTGTCCCATTTGAACTTGTCAAGATTCGCTTGCAGGATAAAGCCTCTGCTGGTAAATACAGCGGAATGCTGGACGTAGTGAGCAAAATTGTGAAGCAAGAAGGCCCCCTTGCGTTATACAACGGTCTTGAATCTACACTTTGGCGTCACATTCTCTGGAATGCCGGATACTTTGGTTGTATTTTCCAAATCCGCGCCCAATTACCGAAACCTGAGCCAGGAAACAAGAGCCAACAGATGGGGAATGACTTGGTCGCTGGTTCGATTGGTGGAACTGCCGGAACTATAGTGAACACTCCTATGGATGTCGTAAAGTCTCGCATTCAAAATAGCCCGAGGATTGCAGGATCTGTACCAAAGTACAACTGGGCGTGGCCGGCTCTGGGCACCATCATGAAGGAAGAGGGTTTCGGCGCCCTGTATAAGGGATTCATTCCCAAGGTGCTCAGACTAGGTCCCGGTGGAGGAATTCTACTTGTCGTGTTTACTGGTGTGACAGATTTCTTCCGGAAACTTAGGGAGCATTAAAGGACAAGAAAACTCCTGCCGTGTCTCCTTACTCTTCTAGACCACGTCGACCGAATCAAATCACGCGACAACACCCAACACGACCACCGCGACTATCACAACAAACTGTCATTTTTGAAGATATTCAACTTAATGGCATCCTAGATCATGAGCGCGTCAGGTAATCCGCACTCAAACCCTACTCTCCAGAATTCCATAGCCTTTACCGTTACCACTACCGTTACGCTCCATGGCTACCACATTGACCATGCGACTTCCTCAAATGCGGCGCTGACACCAGCACAAGCAAACACCTTCCAATACCCTGATAGATATTACCAAACTGCCTCTTGGTGATAAACTTGCCTTTTCAGATATATTTTTCCCTCCTTTTTTCTTCATGGTCCCAAAATGCCCAGCTTAACTTGATTCTTTCTTCCCGCATGTTGTGCTTCAACACTTTGACTTCTTAATGAGTGGCACTTGTACTCTTCGATTTTTGATTTTTCTTTCGTTGTGCCATTCGACTTCTGGAACCAAGGCAGCTTTCAGATGCTCTATGTCATTTACCAAATTTATGAATCCAGCATGTAAGGTGTGGATTGATCATTTGCCTTTTCATTTCAACCCTCGTCTTGCCCTTGTTTTTAGATATAGAGGACGCAGTTTCTTTAACCGCTTTACTTTTCCTAGTGGTGTTTTATTCTGCTACATGTATTCTGCTCCTTGAAATAGATAGACAAATGGATGGTAAAAGCCTGAAAATAAAAGTAAATGGAAACTAACATTATCCCATACACGCGTTGGGCGTTGAATATGCGCAATATCGTCATCATCGCTCCTCAATTGGTTCAACGCTTCTGCTCCCTCATGCCAGTGAAAGCTGCCACCATAACCACACCCACATGCAAATACGCGTACAGTGCACACACCATACTGTACTATACATTGTTCCTCACTGATCCCTGCGCTCATCACCACCACCTGAACCCTAACATGCTCTAACCCTCCCTACATAAAACCGGGTATGATATATACACGGCATTTACCCCAACCAGCCGCGCCCACCCGCGTAAGAACAATGGACAAAGCAAACTAGAATAGAAATACTTGGTTCGAAAGCGGAATACCCTCCACCTATCCACATTCCCCGCATTCACAACTCCCGCCCCGCCCCCTGGCTTTTCACATGCATCATTGGGGATATCTCAGCGCGCTCAATCTTTAAAAGTTTATGACAAACACGCCATATCACCACCTCATTTCGCAAGAAACCTTAATATGCCGTTGTTGGCTGTTGGTGCTACAATGTAACATGGCATGCCATATATTCTCAATGTATTTTTATGTCGGTCTACAAGTGCAGTTGTCTTTGAGATATGTTTCCGCTCCATCTAAGGATGATACAAAAAGTGGAACAATAAACTCCAGATTCCCTGTGGACAAGTTCCTGTTCCCTAAACCTACTGTTACTCAGACATTGATTCCAAAACGACGCTTGACATGGGGTTGAAATGGCATCATAAATGAGTATAAACTGCATATCAATTCATCCCGCAGCTCGAAAGGCGTGCCTCGTTGGAATAAAATCTACTCCGCAAGGCAATCAACGTTGAATAAAACAATGAAAATAGAGGCTAACTGAAAAGTATTCAGCATTCAGACCTGGCTAAGGACAAATGCCCCAAGATAGACAGGCAATAACGCATTTCAAGAGTGGTGCCAAAGTCCTCCAAGCTTTTCCAAATTAGAGCACCGATGATTCAATCAATCATCAGAGAGTCCTCCCTCTCACCGCTCATCCACTCTTGAAAAGGGAATGAATGTATCAAAATCCCCCGCCGCTAAACAATACCATTCAAATCGCCCGAAACGAGCGTCAACCCCTCTCCTCTTCCCGCCACGCAAAGAGTCTATGACGTCACTCCTGCAATGTCTACGATTTCAACCCCCACCTTACAACACTTACTCATCTCACATAGTCTCAAACCTCTCCACATTCAATCTCCTTCCTGATGTATACGTAAGTACAGAGGATTAAAGTACGTACGCAACAGATATCTATTAGTGGATATCGCCACCTCAAGCTCACGCCGTTCGCAGCGTTGGGACATCTCCACGAACAGAAGGGAAAAGAGGTTTATCCTTTGTCCTCAATCACCGACAGGATTAGACGTAAAATCCATTGGATGTATGCAATGAACCAGCCACTGCACATGGCGCCCCCGTGGATTGTGAAGCAAGGATGCGGGATAGTAAATTGCCAAATACGGTTGACTGGTTGATTGGTTCACTGATTTCAGCTCTCAGTTCATGATTTTTGAAATAAGCAGGCGGGTAGCCGACCAAAAGTCCTTCTCTCAACCCAAGAAACAATTCAAGCCTGAATTTGCCCTTCATCAACGGTCTTCGGGCGAACTCTGTTTCAAGTGTGTTCCACAACAATATGGCCCAATTTAGAATCTTTTTCTTTGTGGTATTTGAACAATGATTCCCATATTATGCTAAAGAGTAGAAGAATTTTCAGAAAGTGTTCTCAATTCTCCCAATGCACCAGCACATGTTAATTCCAGATATAGTGAGAGGGCAAAAGTGAGAACAGAGTACAAAGAACCAACATGAAACAACCCAAATCCAAGCAGATCAAAAAATGTCTGCTGAATGCCATTTCATCACCCAAAAAAAAAAAAAAAAAGAAAAAAGAAAAAAGAACAGAAAATACACTGTACCAGTATGTATTGTAAACACATACCGTTCCATACAGTAAACTACACCACACAAGCTTAATTTCGATACGGGGAATTTAGGCAGGGCAAAAGTGAAAAAACAGACCCCAACCCAAACTATTCATGGGAAACCTTGTAATCCGTTCTCGATTAAAGAAAAATTACGCTAGACAATGGTTGATACCTGTTGGATTCATTAAGGACGCGGTTCGGTCGGCTCGGGTACCGTATCGAGTCTAAAACGGCCAAAAGCGATCGACCTGGGAGCAGCCCATTGTGTGGGCGAAAAACCACCCGAAACATGCCTGGGAGCAAGGTTGCTTCAACCCGCCTACCCGCCATGATGTACTTGTTTACCTTGTATGAAGCAAATATGGGATGCAGACCCCGGCATAAGTGAATGTAGATAGCTTAATCTTACTTTTTGAAAAGAACCCAGTACATAGATCTGTCGATACGAATCAGGGCGAATGGGAGCATCCTTATCAATTCGTACTCGAACAAGACATAATCTTAAGTTAGATTCGAAGCGAAACACGGTAGGATTAAGAAATAAGGTATATATATATTATATATTAAACGCTAAATATGGAGAGGAAGGTATGGATTAGCCTGTAAGATTAAAACAAACTTAAAAGGATGCAAATGCAAATTATCAAACAGTAAAGTAAGGAATTCATCCAAATAGGATGCAACCCTCCCCCCAAACCCACTAGATAGAAACTAAAGAAAGTATAGTACCACGAACCAAACAGATAAAGCAAGTCGACCTGTAGGTAGACCCGACAGGGTTGAAGAAGGAAAAGATATAATCATAGAAAGATGTTAACATATCTTTAAAAGGGAAACCAGCACAGACAAAAAAAACCGAATAAAATATATAAAAGGGGGTATCGATGGGCCTGTAAAATACCACGCAGGCAAAACAGGGAAACGGTGCACGGGCTAAGTTGAAAAAGGACCAAGGCAAGACGCATTAGAAACATGAAATGAGGCTTTGCTTTGTGAAACAAAACAGAAATCGCGAAAGCGGAGGAGGGTGGCGAGAAAAGAATAGACACTATAAAAACGATGAGAAATCGACACCACATCCTCCCATATTAGAAATATGATATACAGCTGAGAAACAATGTAAATAAGAACTCTGAAATGCAAGGGGATAAGAACTAAAATAGAGATATTAGCATGAATCAAAGAATGTGCATATAAAATCGACAAAAAATTGAAATGAAAATTCAAAAAAAAAAAAAAAAAAAAAAAAAAAAAAAA